ACTCTTCCCCATGGAAAAGTGCTTGGGAGCACAGAGCATTTTATGAATTCTATTTGCAATTTGTATGTATGTGTGTATTTTAGGTTGTGCAGAGAAAGGAAGCCAGATAGAACTGAGACCTTTGCTCTAACATGAATCTTTCATTAACTAGACTAGTACACATAGTGATAAGTATAGCCAAAATAGCTAAGACCAAGGTTAAAAAGATCCCGGCAGGCCTAGTACTATTAGATTTAGGGGAGCTGAAGACTTAACAGCTGCTGGATGTCAGACACTTACTATTTGTATGACCCCCGGAAAGTCACTTAACCTCTGTTTGCTTCAGTTTCTTCAACTCTAAAGGGGGATAATAATAACACCTAACAGCTCAAGGCTGTTATGAACATCAAATTAGATATCTGTAAAAGCACTTAGCATAGTGCTTAGCAGGGTAGGCAACATTAAATGCTTATTCCCCTTAATTCTAGTACCTCCTCTCTCTTGATTATTTCCAATTTATCCTGTATATAGTATATCCTGTATTTATACAGGATATATTATATCCTGTATATGCTGTATATATTTCCAATATATGCTATATATAAAGGGGCTTGAGCCCCTTTGAAATGCTGGGTGAACCTCAAAATAAGCTGAGTGGGAGCATTCTTCTGTTTATAATTGATAAGGACCAGGCACCTTGAACCCGACACTATCTTGATTAAGGGCACTTCTCTTGTCTTGTTTCATGGACTCTATCTTGTTATGACATTCTCTTATTTATGACACCGCCTTGTTTATGGCTGACAGAAACCAGACATTTTGGGGCACCCTCTTGTTCTCTGGAAACTATACTTTTGGCTGACGAAGGACACAGGCCTCCTGAGTCAGGGGAAAGGGAGGACGTATGGGCATGTAACCTGGGCAGCCTAGCCCCAGAGTGAGCTCATTTCTTATGAACTCCCATGCAAGGATGAATGCATGTCCACCACTTTGAGAGAAATAAACACACCCCACAACCTAAATGTTGAGGTTTAGGGGTGCAGGGACCCCAAAACAGCAACACTCAGTCCTGCCAGAATGAATTCGACCTATGCCTTCTTTCAGCCAAAGACAAGATTTATTAAAATACCAATAGAGAATGGGAGTGATTCTAACAATCCACCAGACTTCAAAGGAATGTAAACATTGGCTAGACTCCTACGGAATCTGAGCACCTTAATGATGTCCAAGATGTATCTTATATACAGAAAGACTGCGAGAGGGATCTAGGAATGGCCAAGTAGTCTGGGGTGACTGGGAGGGTAGAATGGGGTCTAGATAGGATCAAGAGTGGGAAGTGGTGGAGGTGAGGAGGCAATGGGGAGGTAACAGACCATGAGAGGTAACAGAATTGGGAAATTGGGCGTAGCCACAATGAAAGGCCAGTTGAGAGGATTATAGCCTCAAGCTAACACCAGAAATTTAACCATGTGGGAAAGTCCAGGTCTTTTCATTTTTGGGGTCCAGATCCCAAAAACATGGTCTTTTCCTTTTAGGGGTTCAGATCCCATTCCCATCTTAACTCTGTCTTTCTTAGAACTAACTGGCAGATTGACAATAACTTGTTTATACGTAGTTGTTTGCATTAGACTGTGAGTTCCTGGAGATCAGGTACTTCTCTTTTGCCTTTCTTTGGAAAGCCAACAATTAGCACTGTACGTGGAACATAATAGGTGCCTAATAAATGTTTATTGACTGACTGAGTAAAGCTCTCTTGCCCACTTTATCCATCATGATCTAACTGCCAACCCTCTAAGAGACCTCTCCATCTCAACCAAGGTCCATGTGGCTGTTTTTGTATTCATGTGATGAGGGAAAAACACCAACAATCTAAGTACTTAGCTCCCTGAGCTAACCAAGTTTCCGGTCTAACTAGTCTAACCTGCATAGAGGGAGGGGTTAAGATATGCTCTTACCACAGTATAATTCTTCTTCTGCCCTACCACATTGTGACCTCCTTAAAATATGGGAGACAGATTTTTCCAGGGGGGTTGTAAGGTCAGAGCTGGTGTATGTTGAGGAAAGTTAAGTAATAAAACTACTTTTGCATATATGGGTCATTTTCTTTCTTCTTTGACCATTTTGTAATGTAGTTCTAGTAGTGGTATTGTTGGGTCAGTCAAAGAGTATGTATGCATGTTTAGTAAATTTGGGGAGCATAGTTCCAAATTGCTTTCATGAATGTTTGGACCAATTCACGGCTCCATCACAGTGCATCAACATACCTGTTTTCCCACAGACTTTCCAACATTTGGCATTACCCTTTTTTTTTGGTCAACTTTGCCTGCCTAATAGATGTGAAATGGAAATTGAGTTGCTTTAATTTTTTTTTTTTTAATATGGCTATTGATAGCGTGGGTTTCTTCTTTTGAAAACTGTCCATATCCTTTGACCATTTATCCATTGGGAATATCTGTGGCTTTCTCAAGGAATTTATCTGAGAAAGGGAGGACAGATGTAAGAGGTAGCTAGCCCAAATGGTAGATTAGCCTATAGTTTTTTTGTGTTTTGGGTGGGGGGGGTTGGTTTTTTTTAAGATGGGGAAACAATAGTGTTATTGTAGGCAACCAGTAAGAAGCCAGTAAATAGGCAGAGATTCCATAATCAGTTTCCTATAGCTTTAATTCAAGAGCATGTGAATGAAAGCAAAATGGAGCAGATTGTGGGAGTAATACAGGGTTAGAAGTTGTCAAGGCAGGATTTTAGATTGGACAGAGTCAAGAGATTAAAGTGTAACGTTGAACTAGTTCACCAAGGAGTCCAGATAGGAAAAGAAGGAATACATAGCCAGCTCAGGAGTGATATTGGCCTGGGAAAGTTCTGCCAGGTGGCAGTGATGGAAGTCACTTAAGTTTGAAAATCAAGATTAGAGTGTCTTAAGGCATAGGAAAAGATGAAATAATGATTATGATAAAGGAATTTGAGAGCTTATAAAATGGAACTAGAACACTGTGATGATTAAAAAAGTTCCAAGAGACATAGTTTCTGGGTAATTTAATCACTTTATTAATAAGGCCAGCATATTTATTAATAAAAAGATGGTCATTTGGCCATCTCTTTTAGACTGAAGATCCCTCATGGTGGTGGGCTCATAGTTTATATACCCTTTGAAGAGCAGGTGTTCCTGATGGGTGGCAATCAACTCTGATTAGTTAACAATGAGAAAATGAATATTACAATAGGGGGTGGGCTTTATTAAAATGAGGGTCTTGGGGTATGTGACTTGGATCACCCAAATTTACCTATTCATTCATTTATTTACAACTGTGATGTATGAAAAGTCCAAGAGACATAATTTCTGGGTAATTAATAATTTTGACTAGCAAATAATTAATAAAAGGATGGTCATTAGGCTTTCTCTAGTAAAGGAAACAGTAATGATGGAGGCCTCTCAAGGCTTATATGCCTTTGGGAGAGTGACTGGTCCCAATAGGTGGGAATCAACTCTGATTGGCTAACAATTAATGAGAAAATGACTATTATAATGAGAGGTGGGCCTATTCTAATGAAGGCCTGGGGGACGTGACTTTGACTGTGTCTCTCTTAATCCTCTCCACCCAGACAGTTGGGTGGGATTCCAACCAAATATGTACCCCAAGGATTTGGGCAATCTTATCTATCAGCAATGACTTTCAAAGATTGGCTACATAATCTACAGGGGTTTATTTCTGAATAAGGAAATAGAAAGGGGAAACATTAATCTCAATTAATAATTGGTTGTTAATATAAGAGAGAAATAATTTCTCATAAATATGGATTGAATTTATGCCACAAAGCACCCAAACCTAAGCCTTCCACTTTGAGGGAGACAAAATTAGAGAAATTTGAAAGGAACCCCAGTGTCATCTTGAATGATGCCTGGGCACGTTTTGGTTTTGAACTGCTACTTGGTGGTTGACTGAACCATAGATTTCCAGCGGGAAGAGACTTTGGGGATCATTTTTTTTTCTCCAGGTGAGAAGACTCAGGGACTGACTGCTTCTCCCATCTCTCCAGCCCTAGGTTATCTATCTATCCTCAGCCCCGAACCGGTTTGCAAAGCGGTGGCCTGATTTTCCAGACTTCCCTCCCGATTTCTTTCTCAATGAACACCTGCTTTAGGAAAGGCCGGACACTGGCTCCCTGGACTGACCAGGGTTTGAGAATCTGATGCCCCGGATCTCTTCAGTTAACGAAACTGAGGATGGACAGAGGGAAAGCCTGGGAGCTCTGGATCCTGGAGAAGAGATGGGGCTAGATGGGGAATGGGGTAGTGGAGTCCTGGCTCCCTAAGCCCGGCAGCGACTGGAGCGGCAGAATCCGAGAGGGTTGAGGGGGCATGGGGGGGGGGGAGAAAAGCCCCCAGGATCCCTGGGCTTGCATTTTCATATCTCCAGTTTCCAATGCTCCGGGTGTGCCCTGAGGTTCCTTCCTCTTCCTCATCCTCTCCCCACACACCCCCTCACCCCGCCTCCCTTTCCCTTTCCTGCGCATTCGCTCAGAACAGGTTTGCACAAGAGGAAGTCACCTGCCAGGGCTTGGAAGGGTAATTCATTTCCTTTGCTTTTCCTGAATCCATCTCTTCCAGGTTGCCTCTCTTGCTTGCTCTCCCTCCCCTAACGACCCCCCCGCCCCGCAACAAGCTGTCTACATCGAGCTCCCCTCTACCCTTTGGTTCTGGAGGGAAATGAATGGAAAGAAAGAGTAGGTGGGAGGGCTTAGAGCACCCAAGATTCCAGACTCTTGTATTTTAATTTTCTAAGTCTTGAGGTTTGTGCGAGCAGAAGCAAAGAGATGAGAACAAAAAGAAACGCTGAGCAACTGAAAAGTGGGACAGAGGCAACGAGAAATAAGCGAACAGAGACAGGAAGAAAAATACAGAAACAGAGCCAGACTAGCATGAAAGAGACAGACTAGAATGAGACAGGTAAGCAATATGTTTCTTTTTCCATAATAAGAGAATAGAGACGGGAAGAAAAATTTAAAAAAAAAAAAGACAGAATAGGATGAGACAGATGAACAACATGTTTGTGTATAGGAAAGAAAAAAAGTGTGTCGCCCAACGTGGGGCTCGAACCCACGACCCTGAGATTAAGAGTCTCATGCTCTACCGACTGAGCTAGCCGGGCTCCTGAAAGTATACCTTGACCCACATGTCCCAGGAGGCTAGGACTCTTGACTGGTTCAAGAAAACTTAATCTTTTTTTCTTCCACTCTGTTTATTTCTTTTGCGGGGCTCTCTAATTGCCACTGGTAAAGTGGGGGAGGAAGAAGCGGTAGGGTAACAAACACACAGAGAGAAACTATAACTTAAAAAATGGGGAAAAAGTCAAATAAAGTTAACTTTACAAAAAAAAAAAAGCCCAAAAACTTGTTTCCGCCCGGTTTCGAACCGGGGACCTTTCGCGTGTGAGGCGAACGTGATAACCACTACACTACGGAAACTAATTAGCGGCTTTCAGTTTCCCCCAAGGCCTAAGAAGCTACATAGCTATTCGCTATCGGTTTTCCAAGCCTAAAACTAATGCCGCTCTAAACTGTTCCCTGGGGGTTGTTTGTTTGTTTGTTTTCCCTCGGGTAAAGGGATTTTTTTTTTCCTTCATGGTACCTAGGACCCTCAGCCAAATGTCACTCCTGCTTTCGGGCCCACATTTCAATACACTTCAGTCCCGAAACTCGACTTCTTTGGAGTCTGAAATCTTGGGCGCTCTAAGCCGTCACACCTACTCTTTGGTTCCATTCATTCCCCTTCGCAAAGGTGCAGTGACCACGGACCCAACAGCCCTCGCAACTTTATGTCTTTTAGTCTTGCTTTTTTCAGATCCAGTCTCCTTCGGTGAGGTTCACTTTACAAGCGACTAACCTCCCCCAAAATTCCTCCTCGATGGAATCGTCCAGAGTCCTCCTAACCACAAAGTCCTTGGGCTAGAACGACCGGAAGCTTACAAGAACGCGGGCGTAAAACTTCCCTCTTGGTCTTCCCGTTCCCACAATTTCACTCCATTTCCGGTAACCGCCGGTTGTTGGTGCTGCCCAAGACCTCCGTGGGGGGTGGAGTGGCAACGGCGCTCGCGAAGTTCGAAGACGCTTCGACGGATGGCCTAGAGCGTCGCCCTTTCTATTTCCCTCCCCTCCCCCCCAACTGGTGTCTTCCATTCCGGGGGGGAGGGGGATATCCAACCAACGCTACGGCCCTGGCCTTCTTAAGTACCATAGAGACCCGGACTTTCTGTGCCCGCCCCCTTTTCCGTCTCCGGCACCTTACGGGAGCGCCGCTTTCTAGCTCACTTCCTGTTGGCTGAGGAGGCGAGAGCAAGAGAAGAGAGGAAAGGGAGGGGGCGGGGCAGCCCAAGACATTAGGAGCCAAGGAGGCCCGGGTGGAAGGAAATGGGCGTGAGAAGAGGCCGGAAGTAAAGCAAAGGATACAGGAAGTGAAGGGGAGGAGCTAGAGGCGAGGGGAGGGAGCCATATGAGGAGGGGGAAGGGGGAGTTAGGTAGGATTTGCATTCAGAACCCGGACAGGGCAAGCAGTCCGGAGGGCCCGAAATAGTACCGTTTCTCCCTTCAGCAGCGTGGGGCAGGGGGTGGGTGGGAAGAGCTATTTATCAATTAGGCTTTTAAATTAGAGCTCCTCTCTTCTTGGGGCTAGAAACTGTGTGTGTGAGTTTGTATGTGTGTGTGTGTGTACGCGCGTGTGCGCCAGTGTGTGGGGGGGGCAGGCCACCTCTGTGGCCCCCGTTGGGAGTGGGGAAGAGAAAGGGAGGCTGGTTGTAGAATCCAAAAGGAAGACCCTCCCTCTTGCCGGCCTCCCCTTTGTAACCCTTGGCATCTAACATCCTCCCTGGGTGACTTGAGACTAAGATGGCTGCCGTTGCCATGGCACCCAACCCAGTCCAGACCCTCCAAGAGGAGGCAGTGTGTGCCATCTGCCTGGATTACTTCACAGATCCCGTATCCATTGGCTGTGGGCACAACTTCTGCAGGGTGTGTGTGACCCAGTTGTGGGGGGGAGAGGACGAGGAGGAGGAGAGGGAGGAGGAGGAAGATGAAGGGGAAGAAGAGGTGGAGGCAGTGGGTGCCAGTGGTGGTTGGGACACCCCCATGCGAGAGGACGAGTACGAGGGGGATATGGAAGAAGAGGAAGTGGAGGAGGAAGAGGATGAGGAGTTTTGGACCAATAGCATCAATGGCCCTACCTGGGACAACATGGATTATGTGTGGGATGAGGATGAAGAGGAAGATTTGGACTACTACCTGGGGGATGTGGAAGAGGAGCTGAGGGGTGAGGAGGAGGAAGAAGATGAAGATGAGGAGGTGTTGGAGGAAGATGAAGAGGAAGAGCTAGAGCCCGCTACCCCTCCACCACCAGCCCCTGCTCCTAGGCGTAGATTTACCTGCCCCCAGTGTAGGAAGACTTTTCCCCGTAGGAACTTTAGACCCAACCTACAGTTGGCCAACATGGTGCAGGTAATTCGGCAAATGCACCCAGCTCCTCGAAGAGGAAGCCGGGGCAATGAACAAGGTGTGTGCCCCAAGCACCAAGAGGCTCTGAAGTTGTTCTGTGAGGTGGATGAAGAAGCTATCTGTGTGGTGTGCCGGGAGTCAAGAAACCACAAGCAACACAGTGTGGTGCCATTGGAGGAAGTGGTGCAGGAGTACAAGGTGAGAATGAGAAAAGGACAGGCCCAGGGTGGTGGAAAGGAGGCAGAGTCAGCCAAGGGTGGGTAGAAGAGGGTGACACTACCCTTTCCCTGCCAGATCTCATCCCCAATTCATTCTTATTACTTCAGCTTCATACTAGAGGAGAAAGATAAGGAAAGGCCTACCTAGAGAAATAGAAGCATAATAAATATCGAGAATAAGCATTTGCATAGTTACAAATATCTCATTTATCCTCCCAGCAACCCTACGGGATAGGTGTTTCACATGGGTAAAAACTGGGATAGGCTGACCTATTCACGATATTCTGGGCACAATGTCAGATCACCAGGGAGTAGAGGGAGTAGATTACTGCAGGTTAATTTTTTTTTTTGATAACCAAAGAAAACCCTGGCCCTGACAGTGATCCAGAGACTCCCTAGACACAGGGATGGAGAATTATAGAAATTTAGGAGAAAAACAAATTGGGGGAACACTTTAGGCTGAGAGTTAACTGATAACTATTCAGCTGTCAGGTGTAAAATCCAGAATAATTAATGAGGGTGGGGTACTCCTCAGACCCACACCTGCTTCCTTCTCCAGCCTTGCTGACCCTTATATACTAATTGAACAGGTTATACTATAAAGCAGGAGACAGACTTGTTGCTTCAACCTTAGCCTACCTTTTTTTTTTTCTGGTTGGCTTCTGATTGAGATCCCACCTTTGGATTCTGATTATAGATTGATTGGTTGACACCTCGTTTAGTTCTGGGCCTGGCTATGTTGTTGGACTTGTCAATAAAGAATTGATTGTATAACAGAATGTATTGTACATTGAGACCAAGTTGGGCCTATCTAATTCACAGGTCATGATCCCTGCACCCAACCTAGAACAGTAAACTGACAGGGATTAAGTCTTTTTATTTTTCCTTTGCATCTCCCTTACTACTTTGAACTGGGCTCTCTACAATAGTATGTAAAATTTATGTCATTAGTATTGATATTGGTTCTGAGAATAAATTCAGTACTTGCCTATTCTCTCCAGGCATATCTCCCAGAAGAATCCTAGACCTGAATTTTAGTTCAATTGGCAATTTTTTTTGGGTTTCTTTTATTTGTTGTACTAGATACTGTATCAGAGTTTGGTTTGGGGGAGGAAAGAAATGGATGCAAAACACAACACATGATCCTTGCCCTTGACAGTCTTTGTTCCATCAAAGACTTGACAAATAGGAACTTATAAAAGTAGTTACAACCGATTGATAATTCTGAATTACTAATTTACTGTAGTTATTATAAGTTACTTCATCAAAACTTGTAAATGAAATTCCACTACTGAGAAAAATGCTTTACCTTCTTCATAGAATCTTCATTCTCTTTGACTTTGAGGACCACCAACAGAGTTTACCAGTAGTATTGATTAACCACTGGGATACTGAGGCAGAGGAGAGAGAAGAGGGGAGGAAAAATACGAGAATAGAGGATAAATGCAAATAATGTGGCAAGGGTTGAGCTATCAGTAGATTTTCATTGGCATCACCCATATGTTCTTGTCCTGGCCATGTAATAGGTTGTTGTGAAGAAAAAAATACCTCTCTGTTAAATTTGTTCATAAAGCATTTCTCATTTAGTCATCTTGAAAGTGAAAACTGGAGAGCTAAACTGTATCTGACTTCCTAACTCTTGTGCAGAAATTATCCTTCCATTCCTTTTACTCCTAACTTTAAATAACTCAAAACATCCCCATTAAAAATAAAACTGCAAACCTAGGGCTTGGCAGCCTTTTAAAGAGTTGTGTCAGGGTCTTTTCCCTTTCTTTCTGGCATGGTGGGAGGAAATGTATGTTTGTTTAGGCTGCTGACTTTCTTAAAAGAGCAGAGAAGCCATATGATTCCAATGGTGACAAAGACTGTAGATTTCCAACCCTGCATAAAGGTAAAAGTTCCAGTGGTTTGATGAAGAAAAGGAGTAAGAGGTAAATGTATATGCGGGACACCTTTTTTGCCCATTTGTGGAGAACATTTTTTTTTCATTGCCCATTAAGGGAGATTGAGTATTCTATCTAATGATATACTCATTACAACCCAATTGAACAAACAAATATGCTTGTCCCATTCCTACCATTCACATGTAACAGGCCAAGCTGCAGGGTCACGTGGAGCCATTGAGGAAGCACCTGGAAGCTGTTCAGAAACTGAAGGCCAAGGAAGAGAGGAGGGTCACGGAGCTCAAGGCAGGTGGATGTGATTGGGAGGATGGGCACGGTCCAAGGCAAGAGTCCTGTATCTAGAGAGGACGGGTAGAGTATGAAGAAGCCAGACGCTGGTGTGATGAGGGGAATGGAAAAGGAGCTATAATGGGAGGTGGAGTGAAGTGGAGATCAAGGGCCAAATGCTGAGATCTCTAAAGGAGAATAGGAATTCACTGTAGGAAATGTGATACTAGGAGAGTCTTCGTGAGGAAACTGGGGAGGAGTAATTAGAGAAGAGAAAAAGCAATAAAAAATAAAACCTAAGGGGTGGAAGGGGCCTTGGAGATCATCTGGTCCAGCTCACCTGTTTTACCAATGAGGAAATTGAGGTTCAAAGAAAGTGAATTGCCCATGGTCACAAATATGGCCGTAACAGAACTGGGATGAGAAACCAGGGCTTCTGGACTCCTTAGTGAGTATTCTTTCACATGTTACTTAGAACAAGAAACTTTGGATTTAGTGTCCCATGGTGAGGGCTAGGAATAGGGGAGAATAGTAAAAGTGAACTCTTAGTATGTGGATGACCAAGTGACCCCCTCACCCCTTTTTATCCCTCCTAGAGTCAGATGAAGACAGAGCTGGCAGCAGTAGCATCAGAATTTGGAAGATTGGCACGGTTTCTGGCTGATGAGCAAGCTGGGCTAGAACGGCGCTTACGGGAACAGCACGAGGCCCAGTTAGGACGAGCAGGAGCCGCAGCGGGGCGGCTAGGGGAGCAAGCCACACAGCTAAGTCGACTGCTGGCCGAGGCACAAGAAAGAAGCCAACAGGGGGGACTTCGGCTGCTCAAGGTGAGAGCAACTTCAAATTCTATCCCATGTCTAGCTATCCAGGCCCTTGTTCTCTTCAATCCCAACTCTTCCCACCCTTCTGTTCTTTCCTCAGTCAACATTTATCAAGAACCTATTAAATATAATCCTTAACATGTATTTATTTGTCACTCACTGGCAGCAATGTGCAGAGAATAACAGTCATGGTTCTTGCCCACAGGTAGCTTTCATTCTTAAGTTAGAAGAGACATTTATAAATGTGTTAATGTGGTCACATATTAAATTCTATAGGAATTCAGAGCAGGAAGCAGTTTAGCCCTGGATGGTTCACATTCTATAGTTAGTTATTAGAAGGACCTTGAAGGTTGCTGTACTGGATCTGTACCTAATCTATGTGAATCCATAGAACCACAGAATTTCATAGTTGGAAGGGACTTCTAGTGTCCATTTTCGGTATCCAGTCCTTGATCAAAAATCTCCTTTATGATATATCTGACATTTAGCCTTTGCCTGAAGGCCTCCAATGAGAGGACACCCATAACTCACTGTGGTAGTCTATTCCACTCTTGGACGGCTCGAATTGCTAGGAAGTTTTTCCTCACATCAAGCCCAAATACCCCTCTTTGCAACTTCTCTTATACATCCTAGTTCTTCTCTCTAGGGACAAAAAGAACAAGTCTAACCTCTTTTTTTACCCAACAGACCTTCAAACACTTAAAGACAGCTATTACATCTCCTCTTAATTCTGTTTTCCAGGCTAAACATCCTCATTGTCTGTAACTGAACCTTATATAGCATAAACTTATTCTTAAACCCTATTCCATTTAATTAGATCACCTAGAAATGACTGGTTTGTGCTAAAAAGCATTCAAAAAAGACACATTTGAACATTAGAATTTACAAATTCAAAATTGTGAAATATGTCTGGCACAAGAACTGGGAATAAAAATCTATATAGTCCTACCTCCTCAATGGATATGTCTGTTCAGAAAAATCTTGTTAAAAAGGAATATAGTAGAAGGGAACAGAAGGAGTTGTTCCATAAGAAGAGTTTTTTTTAGGTCACACTGGAATCCATAGGAATCAAACTTTTTCACTTGAGTTGGTAGGTATAAGGCCTGTTTCCTAGCATGTCTGTAGTTTGGCAGATGGGAACTACTGAAGTGCAAAGAAAAATTTAATTTCACTCCACAGATATATATTGAATCTTTATTGTTTTCAAGGCACTGTGCCCTAGGTTCTATTGGGGATAAAAAGATGAATGAGACATAATCCCATTCACAGATATGGAAACAGTGGAAGTAGTAGTGTAGTAAAGGGAAGAAGACATGTTCCCAAGTATATAAGATACAAAATAGAGGGTAAGAATTCATGAAAGGTGTATGCAAATATATATATATATATATATATATATAATATATATATATATATATATATATATATAAAAAGAAAAGGTATGTATATAAAGAGTTCAAAGAAAGACAATCATTACTGGTAAAGCAGAATTAGGAAATGTTTTAGGGAAGAAGTGACTTGTAAGGCTGACCTTGAAGGATAGGTAGGATTCTGACTGGTTGGCATGTAGGAGGTATTCCACAGGTGTAGAAGTGGAAAAAATACAGGGCATGTTTGGGTAATAGCTGGTCCATTTTGATTAAATCAAGTGTGAGATAAAACTGGTAAATTAGAACCAGATAGTGAAGGGCCTTGAACATCAAGTGAAGGAGTCTGAACTGAATTCATTGCATCAGGAAGCTGCAGAACGTTTGTGAGCAGAGGGGGTCACACAGTCAGGACCTGAAGTAGAGAGATTGATCTGGTTTCATTGCATGAAATGCATTGAAGAGGAGAAAGACTAGTGTAGAGGCTGTTTTAATAGCATAAATGAGAAATAATAAAATCCTGGACCAGAGATAGTGGAGTGGAGAGGAAGCTATGTATAGAACAGTGACTCCCAAAGCAAAACTGATTAGGTGGGCATGAAGAGGAAGAATGAGGAGTGAAAAATTACTGAAAAATTCCAAGAGGGCCCCCTCTGACCCCTCCATGGTGGCACAGCTGACAGGCATAGGTCAGTTGAGTAGCAGGTCTGGAGGAAAATTAAGTTCTGTTTAAGACAGGTTGTTTGAGGTAGCAGAAGAACATCAGGCAGGCCTAGTCCCTGAGGGCAAATGGGGCATGGACCCGAGTTTGAGAAGTCATTAGATGGAAGTAATATTTTAAACTATGGGAGGAAAGGGCCTCCTTTATTCATCAGTGCCTTTCATTTATTTCTCCAAGAAGCACTGGTATTGGCTCATTGATTCCCCCATTTGAGTTTTTGCTGCCACTTCCTTCTGGGTCTTAGTTACCTAATAAGTATTTATTAATTATTTCTTAACTATTAGGCTTTTCAAGGTGCTTACCATGTCAGTTACACTTCACTTGCCCACCAAAGAGCCATTAAAGCTTGTCTTTGACCCTGAATGAAGAAGAGTCTCCTGTCTGACCTTCAACAACTTCGTCTGTTTTTCCTTCATTGACGTTTGTTTGGGGCCAACCTCTGCCAGACTATGGGATGCTAGGTCAGTCACTTAGCTTTTCAGTTCTGTAGGCAGCTCTCTGAGAATGCAAGTTGCCAGAACCATTGCTGATCTGCATTAGTACAAGGAGTTTCCTCAACAGTAGTTGTCTACATCTAAGATGTCAAACTCACAACCCAGGCCATGGCCTGAATCAGATTAAAATGTAATTAGGAAATGTTTAACAAAATAAAAATGCCATACAACGTATATAATGTTTACTTATGGTTTTCTAAGTCAATGTGTGGCCCACAGGGATCCATTTCTGTTTGAGTTTGACACCATTGGTCTACAATGAAATCACAGGTCTGGTCCTCAAAAAGAGGCAGTATGGTATTTTGTTTGTTTTTTGGTGAGGCAATTGGGGTTAAGTGACTTGCCCAGAGTCACACAGCTAGTGAGTATTATGTGTCTAAGGCCAGATTTGAACTCGGGTCCTCCTGACTCCAGGGCCACTTACCTGCCCCCAGCAGTATGACATTAATTAAAGGTAGGAACACTGAATTTGAGTCATAAGACCTCTGTTTGAGTCCTGGCTCTGGGACTAACTAGCTATATGGCCATGGGTTAGCTCATCTCTAAACTCTGTAAAATCCTATAAAATGTGTATATAATGGCTATACTTGTCACTTCACAGAATTCTTCTTAGGAAAGTGTTTTATAAGCTAGCAAGTGCTATATAAATACACTCTGTATTATGGGATGTGGTTATCTGCAGCTTTCAGAGTGTTTTGTCTGTAAAGTCTTCATGGATAAGATGGAACTGGAGCTATGTGTGAAGAATAGCTGGGATTTAGGTATGTGGAGATGAAGAAAGAGGACATTTCAGGCATAGATGACAATAAGAGCAATGGACTAGAGGCAGGAATGAGTTTATTGGGGGTAACAGCAAATAAACCAGCCTCATTGATGCCAAAAGTAGCTTGTCGAAGTAGTTTTTAAATATGATTGGATAGTAGAACCTGATTATGAAAGACTTTGAAAGCTGCATGGAAGCAAAATTGTGAGGCTATAATGGATTTGAAGATTATCTAATTCAAATCTTTCTTTCCCCCTTTTTTTTAAACAGATGAATCATTAGATACTCTGGGGGATTAAATAGTTTGCCCATAGTTAGTGGCAGCTTGAACTAGAACCCAGGACCTCTTGACTTAGTTTCTTGTTCCTTTATACTCCTCAGTACTTATAGGATAGTGATATGATAAAAATGGTATTTTAGGAAGATTAGTCTAGTGTTTTGCTATATAGAATGAACTGAATTGGGGAGAGACTGACTGTAGAGACCAGCTACAAGGCATTTATAGTAATCCTAGACCTCAGGGCCTGGAATAGGGCAGGAACAGTGACAATGAAGGAGTCTGAGAGGTACTTTTTAAAGAAGGGGGTATGGGAGACTTTCCACAAATTGGCTGTAGGGATTGCAGGAGAGGGAAGGATCCAGTATAATTTCACTGATTTGACACTGCCCTTCCTTCTTAAAATAAGTTTGTGATAGATATCTTTTGTTTTTATGTCACAGTTATTTCCCAATATACACCTCCACCTTATTGATTAATCCCTATAACAAAGAAAAACAGTCCTCAAACAGCTGACATAGGGACCAAATCTGACAATACATGTAGCATTGCACACCCATTCTTCCCTACCTCTCCTGAAAAAGGTAAAGTCATAGTATCATAGATTTGAAGTCCAGGGACCTTAGATGGTATCTAATCCAACCCTGATGTTCACAGATGAGGGAGCTGAGAGAGGCTGAGTGACTTGCTCGTAGTAGCAGAGCTGGGATTTGAACCCTGGTCCCTCAGCTCCAAATTCAGTACTCTTTCCACTGTAACATGATGCCTACTTAAGTTTCCTTATTTGTTTCCCAGAACTAAGATTAGTCATTACAATTATATCCTTCCAGTTTTCTCTTTGTTTACATTGTTGTTGTCGTTAGGTATATTCTGCATCTCTTCCAGTTCTCACTGAATTTCTTTTAACTTGTTCCTCCTCACGGTGCCAATAAAATTCCCTTACGTTTATATGCCCCCAACTTGATTTCCAGTCTTCTGATCCTACAAAAAGTGCTGCTCTGAGTTTGGGGCTTGTGCCTAGCAGTGGATTTCCTCCCTCCCTCCCCTTTCCTCTTCTGATCTTTCTCCTGTCTGACTACTGCTTCCTGGTCTCTTCATCTCTTTTCTGCCTCCTCCCCCATATGGAGCTCCCAAAGGCTCTCACCTGAGCTCTTTTCTCTTCCCCTTGTCAGTTTCACTCTTGCCTGTGACTTCAGTCATCTTTTATATTTGTGACTCCCAAAGCCACATATTCAGATTTTTCTGATTTTTTTTCCGGATTTTTCTCTATTCAGCAGGCCTTCATTTCCAGCAGCCTTCTAGGCAATCCTAGCTATTGATACCTTAAACTCAACATTGAGTTTAAAACTGAACTTGTAATCAGTCCCCTCTTCCCATCCTCTGCACAATTTTCTGATTTCTTTTTCTCTGATTTCCTTTTTATGGCCCCACTGCTCTTCTAATCATCCAGACTAAAAACCTGGGAATTGTCTTTGACTCTTGACTCTCACTCATTGTCCGGCAGTCACCAAATCCTGTCAGTTCTGTCTCCAAAGTACTTCTCCTGCCATCTCCTCCTCTCCATCACGCTGCTTACACTTCAGCCCTTCTGGGCTTGGAATGTTAATTGTAATAGTATTTCTGTCTAGTGGCCTTGCCTCTAGTCCCTCCCTCCTCCAATAAACCCTTTGCTCAGCTTCCTAATACCCAGGTCTGACCCTGTCACTCCTCTTCTCAGGAACATTTGAAGGCTTTTTGTTGCTTGTAGGATAAATTGCAGACACCTTAATTTACAAATATAGCACTCCACAGTCTAACCACAGTCTTTTTTTCCAGCCTTATTTCACATTTTCTCCCCTTCATATAATCTACAGTCTAGAGAAATTGGACTAGTAGCTGTCCTCCAGTCTTATTCTGCCCTTTTTTTCCCCTCCATGTATTTGCATAGGCCACCCCCTAAGCCTAGAATGTACTCCATCTGCCTATTGAAATCATTCTCTTCTCTCAACGTCCCGTTTAGTTGCCACCTCCTCTATGCCTTCTCCCCACCTATTTTTCTTCCTTCAGCCTAGATGGCTGCTGGAAATGAAGGCCTGCTGAATAGAGAAAAATGCCTATCCCCACCTCTCCTCCCTTCTACTTCTACTTTTCCTCCTCAGCTAAAATAAGTTCTCCTCACATTTTTCTTATGTACTTTGTCTGGATCTCTTCTGTATATTCTACCTTACATTATGCATATTTGTATAAGTATTTTATTTTCCTCTCCCCTTCCTCCTCCCCCCCATAGTAAGCTCTTTGAGAGCAGGGATTATGCTTTTTTTTTTTATCTTTGTATCTTTATACATAGTAACTGCTTAATAATTATTGAATTGAGTAGAATCTAGGATCCCCAAAGAATGATAGTACTTGTTGACAGAAATAAATATACTGAAAGAATAGTAGAGGGCTATGAACAGTTTTGATATTTCCTCACATTTAGGAGGCAGAAGGAAGAAAAATTACTATTTTTTTTTTTTGGCTAGGCAGTGGGATTAAGTGACTTGCCCAGGGTCACACAGCTAGTAAGTGTTATGTGTCTGAGGCCAGATTTGAACTCAGGTCCTCCTGAATCCAGGGCTGGCGCTCTATCCACTGTGCCACCTAGCTACCCCGCAAGGAAAAAAAATTATTAAAGGAGATGAAGGAGTATCAAAAAAGGAAGACCATAGTATCACAAAAGCCAGGGGAATAAACAGTTTCAAGAAATGTCATCAGCATTAAAAGTCAAGGAATGATGTCATCTGAACTTCACAAGTAGTGGCTTTAGAGTAGTTTCAATAAATTTGTAGGGACAGAAACTAGAGTACCAAGTTAAATGTCAAGTGTGAAGCCAACAGATGTCAACCCATGTTTGAGGAGTTGGGCAGAGAAGGGAAAGATTGGATGCAAAAGAAGAATAGTTGGATCAACTAAAAGGCACTTTCTTAAAAGGCACAAAGGAAAGGAGAATATGGAAAAGGAGTAGGTGGTGTTGAGGGGAAATGGAGTGTAGCATTTAGACAGATTATATTTACAGAAAAGGGAGCTTCCTTTGAGAAGGGAAGAAAGTGCAACTTGATAGATGTATGGACTGTGTCCTTTATTCTCATTTCAGGATTAGACTAGATAATTTCCAAGATCCCATTCATCCCTGACATTCTGTAATATATTGATCTAAATGCAGTAGTACAGAGGGGAACTCTTAACCAGATAAACTTTGCAATTCAAGGGGCAAAGTCATCCACTAAGTGAGGGTGGACAGTTGGAAGTTTAAAGTTACATGAAGTAACTACTTTGGGTATATTGGAAGTATATTAAAGAGTCAGAGATGAATAAAAGAGTTACCAGAGAAATAGATAACAAAGTCAAGACATAAGGACAGCATAACACTTAATGGGGGCCAAATCTTAAAGGTTGTGTTGCTTTTAGAAATTCTCCTTGACCTGAGAGCAGACAAATGGAATGATGATACTGGTATTGGGAGTCATGGATGATCAGAGACGGTCGGAGGGAAAGAGAGAAAGATAAGAGAGATACTAAACAGTCAGTTACCTCTGACAAATTTTTTGTCCCAAGACAGCTTTTCTCCAGTCCCCCAGCATATTTCTGGGCTACTTTCCCAGTATATACTTAGACTTGGACTATTAAAATGAATTTCCATTCCATAATATAATTAGGAAGATAAACCCACTGTTGTTAGGGTGGAAATCATAAAACACATTCTAAAGCAAATAGAAATGATACATTGGTGTTGTATCTTTTGGACTATACCTGTTACCACTTGCCTACATTATTGTGGATCTTAAAGGGATGGTTATCTTTCCAAAGTAGGAAAAGACTGGGATGATTCAACCTGAAGAGAATGGAGCCAGAGTCATTATGGAAACCGAATAGTGGACATGAGTGTTTGAAGGGTTATTGGCAGAATGAAAAGGAATAGAATTAAATTGTAGTAGGTGGGATATTAAGTCAGACTTGAGAAGAATTTCTGAACAGTAAGACCCTGGACCAAGTGTCCAAGAAAGGATGTGACAATCCTTTTTTTAGGGTTCTTTAAAGTTGAAAAAGACCCTCAGTGAATGGCATGACATGGGTTGAGTAACTGGAGGTATGGGGGTTGGACGAGATGAATTAAAACTCCTTCATTTTCTCAAATGTCCCCAAACCTGGCCCTTCTATTCTGGGCTGAAGATCTAGGGGATAAGGAAACCAACTGTGAAGGGCTGACTTTATCTTTCTTTCCCCTTCCTTACCCCCATTTTTTGTCTCTATTATTCTCAGGACATCAAGGAGACTTTTAACAGGTGAGTTTCTATCCCTCAAACCCCTGAATTCCACAGAACACAGATTTTTAACTAGGACCAAGGCATCTGGTTTCCTTGGCCCTGACTCTCCTACATACCCTGTTAACCCTTACCAGATATCTGGATCTTCCCTCATCCCCCTCCCTGGACCCACACATCTTGTCCCCAGCCCCTGAATCCTTGTCTTCCTTTCTCAGGACCCAAATGTCTATCTCCCAGCCCCAGTTCTCCTCCCCTATCTTTCCTTCTCTCTTCTGGACTTTAGTGTCCTATGTGTACCAACTTCTAATCCTCTCCCAGGTGTGAGGAGGTACAGCTGCAACCTCCAGAGATCTGGTCCCCAGATCCCAGCCATCCCCACAGTCATGACTTCTTGACAGATGCCATCGTGAGGAAGATGAGTCGGATGTTCTGTCAGGCTGCCCGAGGTACAGAGAATTCACAAATCACCTTTCCTCATTCGTCCCTGTACAATCTAGAGCCAGAGTTTGGGGAAAGTGTGTGTATATTGATAGAACAAAAGGGAAGACATATGGGTGATCTTTGGACTTGAATGTAGGCTAGGACCTAAGGGTCCTAGAAAAATGGTTAGAAGTTAGTGGATAGAACTTGGGGGCAGGATTACTGCTTCTTTGAAGGGAAGCAAGAATCCTGAGTCAAGACACCTAGGTATGGGAAAAGGGAAGAAATGGGACTGAAACAAGTGAACTTCGAAACCTCTCCTTTTCCTTCTCATTCCAGTGGACCTGACTCTGGATCCTGACACGGCTCATCCAGCCTTAGCCCTGTCACCAGACCGACGCGGAGTCCGTCTGGCAGAGCGGCGCCAGGAACTCCCTGACCACCCCAAACGATTTTCAGCCGAATGTTGTGTGCTAGGTGCCCAGGGATTCCGTTCTGGTCGGCACTACTGGGAGGTGGAGGTAGGGGGGCGGCGTGGCTGGGCTGTAGGAGCTGCTCGTGAGTCAACTCGTCACAAGGAGAAGGGGGGACCAGCAGGGAGTTCTGGGGGTGGTAGTGGGGATGCCACCCCATCTCGCCACCACCATCGTCGCAGAAGGCCCCATTTGCCCCAGCAGCCAATGTTTCAAAGGGAGGTGTGGTGTGTGGGCACCAATGGGAAGCGCTACCAGGCACAGAGCTCAACTGAGCAGACACCTTTGAGCCCTGGTGACAAGCCACACCGATTAGGGGTATACCTGGACTATGAGGCAGGACGGCTGGGCTTCTATAATGCTGAGACTCTGGGACATGTACATACCTTCTCAGCTGCCTTTCTGGGTGAACGGGTCTTCCCCTTCTTCCGGGTTATTTCCAAGGGCACCCGGATCAAACTCTGCCCCTAAAGCATCCCAGTGCTTATTCCCCCTCCCCCAAACTTCCCTTATCTTAGCAGGGGGTAAGGGTGGGTCCTCAAGCTGGGAAGGGTGGTTCTCTTCTACAACACCGCTCTTTCTCCTAGGTTCCCACCTCGGGTTTTCATTCTGCTACCTTCTCTGTCCTCTTATCCTTGTCTATATTTGGGTATGGGTCCCTGAAAGGGAAAAAATTGTTTAACAATCTGCTTTCCTCCTCCTCTATTATCTACCCTACCCATCTCCAATTCCACCTCTATTACTTATCTACCAAAATGAATTTTATTTAGGGAGAGGAGCATTTTGTTTTGTTTTTTGAATTGAGACCTTTTCCCTCCACACATATATACACCTATCAGCTATCCATAACAGAGGGGGATATATGGGGAGGTTAGGTTCCTGCAAGGTTCTTTGTCTCTCAGATCAGAACCATAATGGTTGTCACCTTCATGTTTTTCTTTTTCACCTTAGATGTCTCTGCCTCCTCCACTTCTTTTTATCCTGTTCTGCTGCTCACTTGCCTCCCACCTCCATTCCCCAAAGGGGAGTTTGTCACCAAAAATGTGACTCGTGTTCTCAGGCCCAGATTCCCCTTTCCCCTCCCTAGTTTGCAGCTTGCAGCATCCCCTACTTGGCGAGGCCCACTAGGGGAGGTAGGGATCTGTTTGATCCTTTGAGAAGAGTCTTGGGCATAGTCTCTATTTTTCTAGAACCCTCTACTTCCACTTTGGGGGCATATTCCAAGTTGGAGGTAACCCCCCCACACATTCACTATTTCTTAGCCTCCTGCCTTTCTCTCTACTGCTCTTTGGCTGAGGTTGGTTTGGGGGAAAATTGAGGGGTGCGAGTGGAATGGTGTGTAGAAATGGACAATAAAAGTTTACTGTTTCATCAGTTTCAGTGAGTAGTTTTATTTTGGTAGCTTCTGGGTGAAGATGCTGCCTCATTGGCTTAATTTCTTAACTTTCCCTTCTACCCTCCATCCCATTCCCTCCTTCCACCTTGTCATTATAGTTAAGCCCCTTCCAATGAGTAAAGTGCCATTCTGCACATGGAAGTAACTGGAGGAAACTGAGCTGTCACACATGGGTCCCAAGATTTAGGGAGGTGGCCCAAAAGATCCCCTTCTCATTACTTGATTTTGATCTTTGGATTTCCCTTTCCTCCTTTACCAGGCTCCACCTTGATCTCCTTGAGTTTTCTCTCTTAATCACTTCTGCTTCATACACCCTTTATCTTCTCTACCTGTATTAAGTGGGCATCTTTCTCACCCCTTCCCCTACAGGCTTTCCATTCTTTTTGATGCCTTTCCTTTTGCTGCAGCTTTCTACCCAGTCATCTTCACCATTGAAACAGCTTATCCTCCCCTCATACCTAAGATTTTCCTCCACTTAGAAACACCTCCCACTCCAGTTTAACACAAAGGGAACTAGATTAGCACTAACACCCAAGAACTAAAAGAAATAAACCATAAAGAAGATACAATTAACAAAACTTGTAAGAGCATTATTGATTGAGATGGAAAGAAGTCATCTAAGTCCAATGGTGTCAAGCTCAAGTGGAAATGCTGGCCACTAAATAAGCACCCCTGTGTTCCTGGAATGAGTTAGAAAACCACACATTAACATGTTCCATTGTGTTTTTATTTTATTAAACATTTCCTGGTTGCATTTTAATCTGGTCTGGCCACCTGTTTGACCCCACTGACTAGCCATTTTATAAATGAGCAAACAGGCACAGAAACATTTAAATGACTTAAGTCAAACAAAGCACTAATTCAAATCCAGGCCTCTACTACACTGTGCTAAGTCCTATGTACATTTGTCTGTAATGCTGCTTTTATTTCTTTTGCTACCTAGGTGTTCCTAACATTTTTATTTTCAACAGAGGTAGATGACTAAATATCATATTAATCCTTTCCCAATGAGTGTCAGGAAAATTTGGCATATCTGGTTTGGCTGGAGGTGTGTATGGCCATATCAATCAATAAACATTAAGCGCCTACTATATGCCAAGCACTGGGGATACAAAAAAGGGCAAAAGACAGTTGCTGCTCTCAAGGAGCTCACAGATCTAATAGGGGAGAAAACATGCAAACAAATACATACAAAGCTATATACAAGATAAATAGGAAATAATTTACAAAAGACACTACAATCAAGAAGATGGAAAGGGGAGTGTTCCAGGTATGGGGGGGGGGCGCACGCAGAAAAAATGCCCAGCCCATTTGATGTGCCCCTAGTGCTGTGTCAAAGGAAGCAGAACTCCCAAGTGTGCCCCTTTGAGGTTAAAATGAAACTGGAAAATGTTCAATTAAAAATACAACATAGATGTTAAATTTGTGATTTTCTAAGCCAATGTGACCTACAGGGATCCCTTTCTATTTTGAATTTGACACCACTGCTGTAGTGAATGTTGAGTGTTGCAGTTGCTTCTTGTTTTAAGAAGCAGAGCTTTCTTTTAGGTAGTCCTTGTAAAAAAAAAACAGTTCTTCCTTTTATTTGCAGTTTTTTTAGTTAGCTAAATTTGCAGTACTTTACTGGCAGGTGCTCATCTCTCCCAACTTTAGTTACTAAATTGAGGCTCTGCCCTCTGCTGCACTTGCTAGAGTATCAGCCCTACTTTGTTTCACTTTGAATCCCAGGCTGCTGACCTGAAATTACCTCACCATTAAGTCTCTAATGGATGGAGACCTAAAGAACACCTAGGCCTGAGGTGTTCTAGTCTGCGTAATGTCAACAATCTCTGGAATTTCCAAGTTCCCAGCCAATCCAAAGGCTTTCTTAATAAAACTGCTTTGCTTTTGGCTCTTGCTATGTCCCAACACAAAGCTTTGTTAGCTTCGGATGTCCCTGGTTGTGTTGGGAATACCCTGCAGGGTCAGTTTCCTGGTCATGGATTTCTGGCTGACATTCTTTGCAATTCTAGGGTATTAGAAATCACACGGACTTCTTAATTTGATTTGGTGTGAACTAAAAGATTAGTTTTATGGAAGCTGGATTGCCTGCTGTCCATTCAGAAGTCAATCTTGGACAGAAATCTTAAGCAAATGTTCACTAATAACTTTTCCATGCCTTATGGAACTACACAGTAGATTCATGCTTGTTTTCACATTTTCTTTGCAGGCCACCCAACTCCAAGTTAAAAAAAACCTTAACTGCTTATAATTTAACATGAAACCTTAAAATAATTCAGTTTCTAAGTCATATCTCAGTTTTGCCCCCAAGTAACATTGCTTTCTAGTACTCAAGTGAATTTAGATCTCATCAATGTGGGTATTCACTCTAGTGAAATCAAAGGGGGGCCTACCTCAGCCACGGCCCTTTCTCATTTTTTTCTTGGCATTCAGGTTCTTTGCTCACATCCTTTGCTTCTTTGTACTGTGCTCCAAAATGCTCACATCTAATGTATTTTAATAACCACTTCAAAATCCCTGTTAACTTGCAATCCTGACATTAGAAACGTCAATCCTTTTGCCCACAGTGCAAATGTTGTCTATGCTAGGCATCTGTGCTACCTTTCCTGGGAAGCAGTGTTAAAGCATATTGGTACCAAGATACTCTTCCATTATCTTATCTTTCTTTAAATTCCAAGCTCCAGAGTCCAGAGTATAGGACTGCAAAATTAGATCAATAGTCATTCCTCCGATTTTACAAAAAGGGACTGACTGGGTGACACACAAAGAGAGCCCAAGAATTACCACCCATCTGGGGACTGGAGGGTGTATTAATTATTACCTGGTGCTATTAACTAGCAAAAATTAATAACCTTGATTGATGATTGTGCCCCAGGGATTCTCTAGCAAGGTCACAGTAATGGACAGAGCCACAATCCACACTCTCATCTTGACACCAACTCCACTGATATTTTACCATTACGCCACAGTACAACACATTTAAATCCTCACAAGGGAGGAGGCCCTTGAGCCCCAGTTACTATCTACCAAAAGTGCACTTGACTCATGAACCATGCTTTTTGGATGGAAGACTCCCCAGCCTCAGCCCCCTTGTCAAACAGTCCATAACCACACCACCCCAAGAGCCACCAGAAAGGGCTGGGACAGCCTATGTTGAGTTGTCAAGCTTAGAGTTGGGTTCCAGATATGTCTCACTAGTGGAAGGTCTTTATAGAGCATCCAAATCATCAAGCACAACTCTCTGTGATTACTTAATGAGATTACCAGGGAAGAAGGAACAATCCAATAAAAACTTCAATTTTACTTTGAAACCACAGTTTGGTACACAAGTAGCTTATTACTAACTCAAACACTATACATTTATCTTCCAAAGCTATCATCTTAATATACTGTCACCTTTACATTATCCCTGAGTAGCTTAAGTGTAGAAAGTGTTATTTATTTCCTCTATATGATAAAATAGATACCCAGAAAAATTAGGTAGATTTTTCAGATTTTGTAGCTTGGTAAAGGAGCTTAGAGTCCAAAAATTAACTGAGAACACAAACTAAATAAAACTAAATATACAGAATACTCCAAAAAATGGATAAAACAAAATATATCATGACAAGCTACACAAGATAAATTAGAAAAATTTGACTGGGAGGAAAAATCTTTGCTTCAGTCATCTCTGAAAAATCTGATTATGACCAAGGAAGCCGCTCCTCTAATAGCAAGTCAAAGAATACAGTTTTAACAAGAAATTAAATGCCTACAGTCTTGTTTACAATCTCCTTCCTGTTCTTAATGCCTGTAGAAACAGCCTCTTTATGTTCGGTTCAGAATAAAAATCAAGTCTACGTTTAACGCTAGGTTGAAGGCTACTGGATGCCAGCTAAGGAAGGGTGCCTTCCATCAAGATGACCACTTCCTGAATACTCCAAAAATGAGTCTTTACTGCTCTTTTCTATTCTCATGACTATAATTAGCCAATGATTCTGCCCCCAAAGTCTGTGTTTCTTGGTAAGCCCAATCTTTTTTGATCTTAAGAATCTGTCCTCAAAAGTCATTTGGCAGCTTTTAGATTAAAAACCCTCTTCTCTTGTCAGGGAATATGGGGAAGTACCAGAAGTATCTTCAGAGGATCAGTTGAGAAACCAGATCATCCAATCCAAAAAAATACAACTTCATTTTTTCAAAAGGCAGAAATTAAGGTCTTTATTTCAAAATCTGAGTTATGGTTGACCCCTTTACCGAGTGCCAATGGTAACTTGCCACACCCGTACCAAGTTGTCTGTGTATCCAGCAAATAAGGTCTGCAGGAAGAAGACAAATATAATGTCACACACACATAAGCTCCAAAATAAAATGCAGTCTTCCCTCCTCCTTTACAGAATAGGAACCCTACCCTAACCATAGTTGCTAGTGCCATTCCTTGGAAATTTGTATTTAATTTCTACATGCATATTTATCTCCCAAACTGGAATATAAGCTCCCTGAAGCCAGGAACTGGCACACTGTAAGCACTTAATAAATGGCTATTGAATAAATGAGCCACATGGAAACTTAATCGAAGATAGGAACCCTATCAAATCACAGGATACCATTCTATCTATCTTTTCATTTCCCAGAAAAGTAAAATGAGATGTAAAATAACTTGGCCAGAGTATTAAGAAGGAAGTGGTAGAGGCAATATCCAAATCCAAGTCCTCTTTCCACTGCTCACACTGCTTCTCCAATAAATTACAATTCCAAGCAATTAATAACCCAAGCCCAGGGACAGAGACAGAGACCGCTTTCAACAATTCCTTCCCAGTGTATATAAGAAGGGTCCAAGGGTTCCCTGAGACAATCAGCTCTGTCAGGGAGGGCAAGATGAACACTTACCTGGCCATCAGCAGACCAGGCTAAAGAAGTGCACTGGGGAGGCTCAGCCTTGCTGCTGGTGCTGATCACTTCTTGCTTAAGCTCATCCACAATGATCTTGCCCTCTAGGTCCT